ATGGAGACTGTGGCAAAATCTGGGTTCAACTAAAGAGTGAATGCCCACAGTCAGATTAGAGGAGCTGTAAGAGAGCGAGAGTTGTCAATTAAAAAAAAGTCTACCTGGTTGAACTTACACTGAGGTTCATTTAATTTTTTCTTTTTTTTGCACGTTTCACTTTTTTGTTTTACAGTTAACTGTTAATTGGGACAACATGTTCTCATGCCTTTTGAACTAAATTACTGGACAAATATTTTTCATAGCCCCAAGTTAGTTTGACTTTGTTTCTAAAGCTATAAAGCCTCCTCAGCACTGAAAACATAAATGCCAATAAACCCTCAAGTCAGTAAACAATGATCACTTTTCATAGAACAAGCTATAGCTACTAAAAGGGCTTTCTCCAAATCCGCACGGTCCAAAAAGAAAACCAGAATGCACTAACTGCAGTTGAAAAGAAAAACAAAAACATAAATCAGCATTTTATTTGTATTGTTTATCTGGTGGCTATGAATGGATGTAGCAAGAAACTATTTCCTCTGCTCTTTGACAGCATTCCTCTCTTTGTGTCTCAGCTAACAAACAACAAAGCCCAGCAACAAACAGTCTTACAGACAAACATTTGGCACTATGATCAAACGCATATCCAGCCATTCAAAGCCTAATCATGGAAAGACAAACAGAAAAACCAACCTGAAACAGACGGCATGAAGGGAACACATTGTCTCAGCAAAATATACTTTTCCTATTTATATCCAAATAAACCTCTTAGAAAGTAAGATTAAGGGATGCAGGACAGATGGCTGGGCTGGGTTACATTGCTTCAGAATATTCACAACTGAGGGATAGGATCAAAATCTGAAGTTTAACACTTCAGCAGCACCAGGCTCTTACTGTACATGCAGGCATTTGCAACTGAAACATGCAACAAAACTCAAGTCAAAGGGTAAACAGTAACTGACTTTTAATTCAACTTATAAATAGATAATGTGTTGTGTGCAGATTTGGCTTGAGGATCTTATCTGCTCTAAGCTTGCGTTGCTGCTTGTAGCAGGAAAATAGAATAGTCTCCTTTTTTTGCTTCTGTCTTGTGTTGTGGTGAGGCATGTTGCCAATAGTAGTCAAAATCTGAAACAAATCAGTGTGCTGATTTTAAAATTCAAGTGAGTCAAGTGAATTACAGTTGGTTGCTTTGACATACGTTTCGCGGCACAATTTTTCTACAGATGTTTATGTATAATGCTACAGTGCTAATAGGTAAAGAGCTCACTCACACTAGCAGTGACATTTAAAACCAAAATTATTAGTTAAGTCATCGTAATTACAGAATGCAGAATTTCACTGCAGGGGTAATGCAAATTTGTTTGGTGATTTTGCGAAAAGAATTTGCAGCATTCATGCAAAACATCTGGGAAGTACTGAGGGAATGGAGAGAAGTGCAGACACCAAAATAGAGAAAGCAATCACATTAGCTGTGAGGAGTGGAGGAGTAAACTGATTGGCTGAGTAGTGTGATTGTGTAGGTGTGTTAAATGCTGCAGGCCAGACTGACCATGATGTGTAAATCCTGCTGCTCGGAGGCTCACACCTTCCTAGTTCAGCTGGCCAAGCCTTTGTTGATTGGGCTTTGTGCTAGTGATGCTGATTAATTAAAGTACTTTACTGTTATGTTGTCTTTATACCTGAAAAAATGTGGTTCTTTGTAAATGGCACACAGTAAGCGAGAGCTTTGTTAAGCTTGCTCATAAGTTCAACAGTCATGTTGAGCCACAACAACATGAACACTCAAAGACTATTTTAGATCAAATTGCATGTTTATTTTAATAAAACACCCACAGAAATCATGACTAATTACATACAGTATTGTTAAAACACATGCAAGTAAAATAACATAAAATAAGTAAGAAAACTGGTTAAACCCAGCAATATTTCAACCATTCATAAATCAATACATGTTCCAAAACAGTCCAGTCTAGGCTTTTCCTATGAGAGGCCCCATGAGAAATAATTCATACTTGGTCTCACACACAGCATCATAATAGCACACGTATAGCAATATACTCATACATAAACACCACTATACCCTCATGCGTGCACTATCATACTCTCTCTCACACACTAATGTCTAGGTCATAAATCATAATTACTTACACAACTATGCTTTCTTAAAAATACTATCATTCTCATTTACAGACACTATCATACTCTCATGCATACTCAATAATATTATTTACAGTAGTGTATGCAAGATGAAATGGTGCTGTGAATGAGAAAGAATGATGTTTGCATGAAAAATTTTAGTGTATGTGAGAGAGAGTATAGTAGTGTGTGAGAGAGAGTATAGTAGTGTGTGAGAGAGTATAGTAGTGTGTGAGAGAGAGTATAGTAGTGTATGTGAGAGAGTATAGTGTGTGAGAGAGTATAGTAGTGTACATGAGACAGAATGATAGTGCATATGAATGAGAATAGTTGTTTGTGTGAGAGAGTTTGATTGAAACGGAAGCGAGTTTGATTGAAACGGAAATGGGAATAAATTCTCAGTTGCTGAATGGCTATCTTTGATAAAGGTAGAAGAAGCGGGAATTTAGGTGGTCCGCCTTCTCAATCATGATTGACATGAGAAAATGGTGGACCGGGAGCGACTTAATGAAGCCATTGGATTATCAGGCGTACCGTTGTCAGGGAGCATCATCCAGTGCTAACGTTAGCCTTAATGTGAACCAAGTGATGCAACCTCGATATCAAACTCAGCAGTACTTTGGTGGATGGGCTTCAAAGTGAGCAGATGAAATAAGGTTTAATCATATTTAGCTGCGGATTTGTTTTTCATTTGAGCCCCAACAACAGCTATTGTTTAGCTAGCTTTAACTGTTAACGTTAAACGTGCAGTGCCTGCTCACAGGAGCCGATCATAGACTGCAAGGGCGACTCCCTGCGTTTTTAAGATAACGTTAGCTAATTTAAGTTAGTGCAGTAAGTTAGAGCAGTGCTTGTTAAAAAGGTGCGTCTCAGATGGGTTTCCATCACAGCATTAATAACACTCAAAAAATAGACAATAGCGTAGATACTGCTAGTTTTCATTTCAACTCAGCCCATCCTTGCATGATGACGATAACTACAGTATCGGAGCATGTAAGCCCCGCTGTTGCAGAGCAGAGAGGCTCGCGCTGTCTACTTTACTGTAGCTTGTTCAAAGTTTATTCATTCTGAACGCATGGCGTGTCCAAATTGCACCAAAAGCAACACTGTACTGCCTTGGGTCAACACGCCCGCCACGTGTGAGGTCAATTGGATGAACTTCTTGATATAATCAAAAGACAAACAGACACAAAGATTCCTGCCTTTATTAGAGAGATAAAATATACTGCCTGGCTAACGAACTGATCTAAATTAACAGCTAGAGCTGGGCAAGTAGCAGCATATTGAAGGAAACTAAATCATTAGTCAGAACTGACCTAGTGTTAAGTCAGGCATTTTCGATTAACATTACCAAACACCTTAAAATGACAATTAATTTTGCATTTTGCTGTCAAACCATTTCATAAAGTCAATTAATTCAGCATTGATCCAGCTGCTCTTTTAAACGTTAAAATCCATTATAATCTGATAAAATTGCTAAATAAAAATGTAGTGTTTTTTTAGGATGTTTGATCTCCTGTTTTGGCATTAGACTAACTGGATGTCAGCCCACTTCTCACATCTGTGGGAGAAGGGTGAGGCATGAGAGTAGGCTACACTTGGCTATGTGGGTATTCCAAGAATCATTTTTCATTGTTAAACCACTTTAGCAAGAGTACAGATAGCCACACTTTGAGGAGAAATAACAATAAAAATGACCATTTGCTACATTTCTTGGGATGACTACTTACATTGATTCTTGTTTTATATAGTTTAACTAGACAAGTAATATAAACCAAATAAATCTGTTTGTGTGGTCGTTCTATGTCATTGTTTATTTTCTCTTGACGTGAATACGCAGATGTTCCAATTACAGTTTTATGTAATGCATTATGTATTGAGACAAGGCTCTTTCAAGTAAATATTTGATTGTCTTGCCTTGATGCTCAGTCACTTTGTTTGCTAAATGACTACTTGTAATGATGGTGCTTTAATTTTTAGGCATACTACCCCAAATCAAGCCTCTGCAGCACAGCAAGATACCTGTGATATCACCACCATAGCTAACCAGCCCTCTGCGTCACAGCAAGCATCCAGTGTCATTCACTTAGATAGTGTTGCCACAGAGGACCAGACTCCATCAACTAGCAATGACGATTATGCTGCCTACCTTTCGATCATGACTTCCATCTCAGACCTTTCATCTGATGATGAGGAATTAAACCAGGCTACAACGGCTAGTCTTGAGAGTCATGCGTAAGTGACTAAGTGGTTAATATGACAATGATTTAATTGAAAGTGCAGTCATTTTAGATACAGTGGTAAGAAAAATTCAATGAACTGGTTGGAATTAGTTTTTCTACATTAATTGGTAATAAAGTAAATAAAGTATAGGCAAATACATTGTCTTTAAGCTAAGAATGCAAACTATTATAATATTTGGTGTCTTGATTGAACACAGACATTAAACATTCAGAGTACTGGTGGAAAAAGTGAAGCCTTGCATTTAGTAATTGAAGCAGTAACCTCTAGCTCTTCTGCTAGCTTACACTGAACTTAATTTTTTTGTACCTAGTTGAGCATTCTGTGTTGTGTTTCTTGAGTTATCTTAGTTAAGTGGCCACTTCTAGGCAGAGTAGCCACATAACAAAGTGGTCTCCATTTATAGACAGTTTGTTTAACAGTGGTCTGATGAATATCTTAACTCTTTGAGATGACCTGGGAACCCTTTCCAGCTTCATGCAAATCAACAATTCTTGATCATTAGTCTTCTGAGAGCTCTTTTTGTGAGGTATAGTTCACACGAGCAGATGATTTCTGTGAATAGCAAGGTTTGCTATTCACAGGTATCACGATGACTTGATGAAAACTTGATGCACATCTGGTACGTAAGCACGTACCAGATGTGCATCAAGTTTTCAGATGACTTGGGAATGGATGAAGAGGCTGTGGACCTTGGTGGCCCTAGGAGAGAATTTTTACAGTTGCTCATGGAAGCCTTGGCTCTGTCACCAATGTTTGAAGGAAGAGATGGCAAATTGAACTTGGCTTTGGACAGTTCAGGTATTTGCTTTATTTTTGGTTCCAGTGTATTGTGTTTTGTTTTTCTCTTTTTCAGCCCTGGTTTTGTCCTAGGTTTTGTGTCATCCAGTTCATCCTGTGTTTTGTCTTCTATGCCATGTTTGCTTCAGCTTTAAGACAAGATTGATACTTTGATGCTGGCGGGGCCATTGCTGTAAGTCTTGTCCATGGCGGTCCTCCACCAGGATTCATTGCACCAACGCTGTTTTCTCGTCTAGTTGGTGGCAATTCCTCCATAAAGCCTGTCTTGGAAGACATTGCCAATACAGACCTATATGAGAAGGTTAAAAAGGTAAATATGATCTAAATATAAACTCAGGTTACTGTTTCACCTCACTAAAACTAATGTAGGCTAATCCATGTTCATGAAATTTTTAATATTCAGGTTTTGATCTGTTTTAGGGGCGTTCATTCACCTGCTGTTACTGAAATGTATTGTCAGTCTGACAGTATTTTTTCCGCCCCATTCATTTCAATGATGGAAAGCTAAATAACAAAAACACCTTTCTGTATAATGCAATACAGTTTAACAGCACCAAAACATACATACATACAGTAGAATCAATACCTAAATGGTTGTGTTGTAGTGTTTTCTAGCAGAAAAACACCTGTCAAGTAGAACCTGCAGAATTTTTACACATTGCATTCTTGCTTATTGAACTATGCTTCAGTTGATTGTTTCTATTGTGTGGTGTTTTTAGGTGTCTGAATGCACGTCTTTGGATGAACTGTTACATGCCACTGAACCATTACAAGATTACCTGGCAAATGCTGGGTGTCTCAGGTCATTGAAATCCATTGAAGACAGAGACCTGCTGGTTGAAGATATTCTCATGTTTCAGGTGGCCCACAGAGTCTGCGGGGCATTTGAAAGGTTTGTGTAATAATACAGAAATCAAGTAAGGGAAATTTTATTTAAAGTACAACAAAACATTTGAACATGTACTCTGTATTTTTAATTAAAAGCGACTGTTTAAGCCTACAAGTAAACTCAAAGAAAACCAGGTTCCAAACAACACATTACTATTTGTAAAGTATGCTGTAAAATAAGCCATTTGCACACATTTCAACAACAGTTTTCACCATTGAGGCATATTACGCAAAATGTTGAACAATAACTTCAATGTAGTTTTTCTCCTGGTTCTTCTGATTGCTAGCTTTTTTGGACTTAACTGGATTTGAAATTATGTTTGGCAAGTCTTAAAAGATTTATTTTGGTTTCTCAAATCAAACATAATGTATTACATGTTTTGCCATCCTAAATATCATTGTAAGTTTTGCTGGAATCTTGATTTAATAGCTTTTATTCTGCATTGGTGAATTAAGTCCAACATTATATGTCTCTTAATGTGTCTCATTTTCATAGATTCAGGGAGGGACTAAAGACCCTTGGTGTCCTGGATGCAATCTGCATGCATCCGGACAGTTTTAGACCCTTAATGTGTCACGAACCATCCCCACTCACTGCTGACTTAATGGATCACCTTTTCCACATCCGGCTGTCTGCAGTGGGAAGCAACAAGAGAAGGGCAGAGGAACGTGTTGTTCCCTTCTGGAGAGATTACCTGCAGGATGTTGAAGGTAAATATTCCCGCTTGTAGATATGGTACTGTCTCTTTTGTTTTTGTGTACAAATACTGGGGTAGGAGAAACTACTTGGAGTACTAATTGTAATGAATATTTATTATTCTCAGAACATGAATGAAAATGATTTTGGTTTTTCACTAACCTTTGCTTTAGTTCAACTTTCTTGGCTAATTTGTTCCTGTATTTTCTCTCGTTTCCTTTCTTTCTTTTTTCCCCTTTTTAATTTATTCTTACTTTTTATATTTTGCTCATCTTCCCTTCCTCTATCTTCTTTACTCTAAGTTTATCTTTGCAGTCTGTCCTGTACAGAATTGTCTTTCCATTACCTACCTTTTGGAACATTTTATACGCTGTTTTTTTTGACTCAGTCTCTCCTTAACTCCTTTTTATCTGGTGCTTTCCTTTCTCTGTTTCTTTGTCTTTCATTCCTTTTTTTTTTAGCTTTCTATATGGTACTTTTACCTTTTACTGGTATAATTACTGCTGTAAATTCTCATTGTTCTCTTTGGTGTGTGGTTCCTTCTTTTTATGTGTGTTAGATCAAGAGGGACAATCAAAGCTAAGTAAAATCTTAGCTTTTGCGACAGGTGCAAGTGTCATCCCTCCAGTTGGATTCTCCCCTCAACCATCAATTGATTTCCTGCATGATCAGTCTGTCAGCTCTAGACGTCATTTGCCTATGGCAATCACCTGCATCAACTGCCTTAAGTTACCACTGCTTGACACATATGAGGATTTTAGGGAGACTATGGACTTTGCAGTAGGTGATACACAGGGTTTTGGTAGAGAATAATGGAGGAAACAATGCTGTTGAGGATGTTTCAGTTATATTAACAAATGAGCTACTGTGTGTTTTAAAAAAATATTGCATTTGATGCAAACTATTAGTTTGAAAATTGAATTGCTTTTTCTGTGATAAGCCAGAACTTTTTTTGTTTTGTTTTTAAAACCAATGCATTCATATAAAATTCATATAAAATTTTCTTTATCCTTCAGATTCCTTTTTGTTCAACTAACTAAAATAATGGATGGATAATGATATGAAAACAAATTAAAATGTTAGTTTTCAAATGTTAGCCATTGTGAACTGTTAAGCACTTTTCATAAAAGCACTATATAAATGCAGACATTAACAATTTATCTTTTACAAAGCATCCAACAGGATTCAGGCACTAAAGAAGCTGTTCACTAAGAAAATTTACCAGGCCTAAAAATGTTGTATGCCATGGTTACTGTCATCAATTAGTGGGTCTACTGTTTCTTGAATTCTGTTCATAACTGTATGATCTATACTAAAGTCATTTACTGGAACAACAATATTGTTTTCAGTCTCTAACTGTACTGGGGTGTCCTCATTGATTTCCAAGGTATCATTTCCTAAAAATGTCCTGAATTGCACCAGCTTCTGCACTGTTAAGAACCCCTCTGTGCCACAGTTGAAGAGGTGTTTGTCCTCCATGGTTGTTCCACTGATTTTGGAATTCTGCAGCTGTCCTATAACTCTTGGCAAGTAGATGTAATGTAGACAAAACATATGGAGTTCATTTGTAGAATCCAGTATGCCCTCATTTTCCATGAAGATGAAGAGGTTGCTGAAGTGGAATGAGACAACTCTATTTAGCTCTGCCCACAGCCGTTCTATCCTCTGATTGTGGACACTGCGTCCAGTAATGACACTGCCTCTATTCAACCCCCTTCTCTCCAGCAAATACTGGGCAACCCCTGTGTTCTCCATGCCATGGTCACAGCGTACTCTTGAGGGAAGGCCAAAGCTCTGTACACCAGTACAAAACAGTTCCAATACACTTGATGCCCTTGTTATTGAGACACAACAAGTATATGATGGTCCGACTATAGCTGTCAACACATCCGTGAAAGACCATTCTCCACCTCACCAGCTTATGGTTTCCATCTATATGCCTGTGGAAAGAATAAATTACATGATTACTACTGTTTTTAGCCCTGTGATACCCTCCAATGAATTGTTACACATTTTTCCTTCTGCTTTGGCTCTTGGTTTCCATTCAATAGATACGCTTTATGTAAAATCATATTGTGTAAATTGAATACTTTTACTTGAGTAACATTTTGAATGCAGAACTTGTAATTGAGTATTTCTACACTGACGTAAGTACTTTTACTTAAGGTAAACATCTCAGCACTACTTCCACCACTGTAATGAAATACATTACTTTATTACCACTGAGTGTATTTACAGAAACCAAACGATGTAATATCACAAAATACTCACCATAATTGATTGGAAGTTTGAACATTATAAATTCTTTTTCGAATTGCATGTCGGCGCCGGAAGGCCCGTCCAATTGGGTCAAGGTGTCGCAGGCAACGTCTCACACGCCAACGCTGAATTCTGATGTTGCGTGTTCGAAGGCTTCCTAGTACATACCTTTCTCCTGCATTTGGAGTAATTTGAAGAATCCCGCTAACAATGTCAGTCAAGGCCTCATCAGATATTGCTGTATAGGTCAGTGGTCCAATTTGAAGTTGCTGTCTGTGTCTATACAGTGTCCTCCTGCTGATTCCAAAGCATACAGCTATTCTTCGCCAACTCATTCCAAGGGACTAACAGTACGTAATTTGTTCATACAGTATATTGTATTGAGGCCGACCAGGATGACCAGTTGTGATTGTTGGTGGTACTCTTGAAGTAAACATTTCCCTTCGTCTCATTTCCACTGATCTTGTGTTTTCATATGAATTTATGATGGAACAAAAACATGTATACAGTGCCTCCAGTGCACCTAAACTTCTATGACTGTCACTCCCTTCTAACCGCACGCTATTTGACAGGAAGAAAGAAATTGTCCGTGTGTATCCATTAAGCTCACAGAAGAGTCTTTCCAAAATCATGCTGTCTTGTCCCATACTGTCACATTCCCTTCAGCTGCTGATTTAAATGCTCCATATAGCTCCAATTAAGCTAAAAGTGGTCTGAGAGTGTGCAGTCTTTGTTTTCAAGGATGTGAGCCAATCAGTGAATGAGAATTTAAACTGGCTTCCTGTTTGATCAAACTAACTTCCTTTTCAATTATACTTTTCTCATATACACTACTATACTCTCTCTCACACACACACTTGTTGTGAACAAACAGTGTGGATTTGTGCATTGTATTTTAAATAATTTGGAGACTCCTATTCTCCCCCCCTCCTCTCTGAGAGAAGGAGGGGGGGTGAGACATCAACTCTGAACAGACGACTGAAGAGAACCCAAAGGAAAAGGTGAAAGGTTGCTTTCCCTAAGTGCTGTTTCTGGGCAGTCTGATAGTAAAACTGGCCAACTCCGATGCTGCAGCGAGATAACGCTCGGTGCCTGACTGTTAAAATGACAAAAGAAACACTCAGAGACGGAACTCTTCGTAAGAGAGGGCCTAAACTGAGTCCCACACATGTAACCATGGCAACTGACCTTGCTCTTTGTTTAATTACCTCACATCAAAGGATGTTCTCCTCTTCACACCCAGGTGTGAGAAACTCCAGGACACCAGGGACAGCCCTGAACTCCTTTGTGGGTGTTACGACCCAGCTCGTTAAGGTAAGGCAGTAACAAGTGATTTGGGAATGAAATGAAGGGGGCAAAAGGACAACTGAATTCTGGTTAAAGTCAAAGGTTTAATTAAATGAGTTGACTCAAGGAAACACAACAAAAAGAGGCTATATAGGTGCTGACAACAAAAAGGAGAAACAAAAGAGGGTTTTGTCCAAAGACAGTAACTCTGCTCAAAAAACACTAAACAAAAAGGAGGTCAGCACCTATATGCTTTACAATAATGCAAAGTAAACAAACAAGCAATGCTCAAACAAAACAGCGCCCAACACTTGGTGTGCTATCACACTATGGATTTACAAAGGGGTGAACTGACTGAAGCCACTTAGACAGGCAACAGACAGAAACAGGAAATACAAACACTCTAGATATTCACTACCTAACAGAGGTACGCAACCAACAGCAAGGCAAACTGATCACTGGCTCAATCACCCCAGACTGTGGACACACAAACTATTTGTAGTCCAGCCGGTGTTGATTGGAGAGTCCTGGGTGGCAGGGATGGGTCGAGTCACAGCCACACCAATCACAGACGCCAGAGAACAGCAACCAGGAAGTAGGCGGTCCCAGCTCCAGAGGAACCAATCCTCGACATGGACTCACACAGATGGGATTTGCATGACAGCCAGAAGCACTCAGGAACACAACTACTTTAAGGCAGCCAGTGGCGGTGGTAACAGTGGGGACAAAGGAATACTGTCTCCTCATGACTCAAAAATTACCTTGTTTATTTAAATAATCTTTTAGTTACTCAACTAGGTCTCCCCACTCCATTTTAGTAGTTATGTTACCATGTTGTTGTTGTTGTTGTTGTTTATTTGTTGTTGAAAAGAATCTAAATAAGTTAATTTTGCAGTGTTTTAATTTTCAGCAAGGTCACCCGACTTTATTAATTTTTTTTGTAACCAATGCTTTGTTCACAATACTTTACTTTACTTCCTTTAGAAATTCAATACTTCCTTTTAAGAGGCAGAAACCTTGAGCAGAACCATGGCTCAGGGTGGGCAGCCATCTGCCTCGACCGGTTGAAATGATAATAATAATAATAATAATAATAATAATAATAATAATCTTTATTTGTAGAGCACTTAACAAGTGTGAAGACAATAATACCCGAGAGACAATAATACAAAAACAATACAAGATAAAAGCATGAAAACACTGAAAAGGCTAAAATACACATTTAAGATAAATATAAAATGAGTAAAATAGAATAAAATAAAAGGGATAAAATAAAGTCAAATAAGATCGGAAAAGGCTCTCCTATAAAAGTATGTTTTAAGAAGGGACTTAAAAGAGTTCACTGACTCAGCTGACCTGATTTCCTCGGGCAGGCTGTTCCAGAGCCTCGGTTCCCTGACAGCAAACGCTCTGTCCCTTTTAGTTTTCAGTCGAGACTCTGGAACCGATAGCAGACCTCTGCCCGAGGATCTCAAGGTACGTGCTGGTGTGTATGGGACTAAAAGTTCAGAAATATAACAAGGCGAGAGGCCATGAAGAGCTTTAAAAGTGATCAATAGAATTTTAAAGTCAATTCTAATACATACTGGTAGCCAGTGTAATGAAGCTAAAATAGGAGTAATGTGGTCATATTTCTTTGTTCTGGTTATGATGATAAAGAAATGTCATCCTATACTCGATTAATTTTCCAGCTTGAATTTAATGTTAACTAACCAAATTCCACAGCTCCTGAGAAAAGATTGTTTTAGGGTTAAGCAAAGCTATCCTCATGTAACGTGAGCTCCCCCAAGTGGACAAAATAAGTATTACATGCCATCGTCTGAAATGCCGTTAATGTATAAAAATCACTCTGTATTTATCTGTCCATAATCTGATGCCATTCGTGTAGCTTGCTTATATTCTCTAAGAACGTGTAACAGCCAATATATCCAGAAAGCTAGTTAAGTTCCTCTCATCTGTGATTCATTCTGAAATGCTAACCTCAAAGTTGAACTACCGACAATTGTTTTCCTTTTATCAACGGAACAACCGTTTGACAATTAAGGTTTGATTGTGGGAAGATATTTGATTACAATACGCGCAAATAGTTTTGATGAAATATTAAAAGTCAAAGACAAGACAGTCCCTCAGGAAAACCAGAAACAAGCCCTCCGTCAGGGGAACAAAGGACTGCCCTCTGGGACCACGCCCTAACAGACAAAAGCAGTCCTCTGCTTGTTCCTGGCTCTCCAACTGCGCTTCAGCCCACCGTGCCCCCTCTCACGGCAACGCTCTAAGATTCGACCTGGCGCAGCAAAGGCTTGTTCGTTTTCAAGCCAAACACGTGACGTGCCGCGACCTCAGCTTTTCCTTGTTTCCTTGTTTCTTTACTTGCCCTTTATTTTCTTTGATTTTGTTTTGTTAAAAGTTATCAGTCCGTTAAGTTTCACTAGTTTAATTGAAGAACGACCAAGTTCTTTTCTTTTAAGCTTTTTTCGTCCAGCTAATCCCACAGAGGTCGGACCCGACCTTGTGGTCCAGCAGTAACAAAGGACGACCAAACCTCTGACCCGAGCCAGGGTTGGAAAGCCCCCCACTGCGAGTTTCTTCAGAAAGCCGACAAAAGACGGACCTCCGGAGAAATTCCCTGGCAGAGAAAGCGACTGGCTGACGGCTTTAAGCTGTCCTAAACGAGAACGCACGGAACTCAGCCAGTGTGAGGCCGCCTAACGTTACCAGCACCCGGCTAGAAGAAGCGACAAAGACCAA